GTATACGAATATAGCTTGCGATAATGTATTTGTGACAAAATTAGATTATTTGCTCTATATTTTTTCTCAATTAACCCTTAAAAGCTAATTGATCCAAATCTTTAATACAGTTATCTATTTCGCAGATATATTCAAATATTTTTTTTCTTTTCTGGTTTAAGAACTTTTTTATCGAATTCGCAATCAAGGAGAGAAAATCTTTTAATGGAGGCAATCATGATTTAATATTTTTCGAACGATATTTTTAGCTCTTAAGGGTTGTTGAAGTTCAGATTGTCCAGCGAGAGCACGCGCAATATTGTCTAGAATTTAATTACAACGAAATATATTTTTCATTGATCCCATGATAGACAAGGATGTCCATGAAAGCACATTATATTTCCTTTTTTGTCTTGTAGCAGATCAGTTTTATATTTTTATATTTTTAGTTTTATATTTTTATAACGAATCGGAAAGAAATTAATTAAATTTTCATTATTAATTATTTAAATGAGTAGTAGTAAAATTTAGTATTTAGTATTTAGTGATTGTTCTTTTTTTTTTTTTTAGACACATTGGTACAGAGAGTTCATACAAAAATTATAAAGCATCAATTATTTATTTAACTATTTGTTTGTTGTTGATAAATTTCTGATTTCTATGAGCAAGGTTAAAACAAAATTGTACATCTATACTAAATTAGATATAAATCTCATTTATAAGAGTCGAGTATAATTGCTTTAATCAACATAATAGTAGATAATTTTCGCAATATAATCAGCCTTGTAATGAATTGTCAGTCACAGAAGAAACAATCTAAATTATATTACTTCAAAATACTACTGAGAAATAACAATAACACTAAACAAAAAACAGTAATGTCTTTCCAATTTATTAAAAAAATTAATCGAATTGTACTCTTCTGTACAGAAACAAAACTTTAACATTACAAAAGCTTATCAAAAACGAATCGCATACGAAATCTAGGAACGTAAAAGCAACATGCTCTTTATAAAATATCAGTATATATACGTGTGTGTATGTATTTAATCAAAACGCGAATCAAAAACCGATCCGCAGCATGACTCTCGTATTTTTGTTCGTGTATACTGTTTTGAGGTAGAAAGAGTGAAATTCATTAGGAGACACCGCGAGCCATTTCTAATGATTAGAAACACGACGAGCACTTGTACCCAGAAACGAACGTTTTAATTGATTTTCAATCTCTGTTAATTGAGACGAAACGTGGAGTTTTTCTTTTTTTTCTTTCTCTTTTTTTTGTTCTCTCGACTCGTTTCCAACGCCTTATAGCTCATTACCGTTTTCGTCATCTTCTTTTTTTTTTTTTTTTTCGTCCTTAATGACTCTGCTTCATTGGTAGGCGTTAATGAAGAATACTACGGCGATGAAAGCTTCGGCACACAGAAAGAAATTGCAGAGCGCAAGATATTTACTTTCTCCACGATCGTCTAGTTATCGTCTAGGCTTCTCATGCTTATTTTCTTCTTATTCGTTCAACATTAACTTTAATCTTCTCTAATGCTATTACGCTTGATCTCTACGTATCCCTTATGTTCTATTGATTTATGCTACGTTTACGTACGCTTGCCACATTATGCGGCTCGCAAGCAATTATTTTTAGTTTTAGCTCTCTTTTTCTCTGTCTTGCGTGTAAGTTTACACAGTAATCCCTAGAATATTGAAGCTGACGGAACGTCAGCTGTCTGGAAGCGAGTACATTAATTATTCCGCTTGCACATGAACATCGAACTTTCTGTGCAAAAATCTTAGACGGACTGGTAAACGTTACGTACACGTGATTTCGTTTCCTTTCACATTTTCCCGATTTTAACGTGGAAATATCTTTCTTTAATTTTAGCTTAGAATTTCTAGTCGAATTATTAATTACTTGAGAATCAAGTATGAGAACTCTACGTTCATTCCTGTAGATTGTTTTATTCAAAGGTATTGGAAAGTTCGTGACTCTCGTTAAAGATAAATGTAGAACTCTTGCAATTCATACGAAAATTCTTTAACTTTAAACGTTTTAGCAAGGCTGATTAATTTTGTTCCTTAAAAGTTCACACTTGATCATTTCTACTAAATGAAACGTATGAATTTCACAATATATATTTATTCATTTATTACATAAACATCTAAGACTTTTGCACGATGTTACACTCTCCCGTTTTGGAAGATCGGTCTCCGATCTAGCGATTATCACTTGCTTTACACGTGTTATATATACTAACCATATATTCTGAATTTCTGAAAAATTGACATTTTGACAAGCATACGTTATTCACCCTCGTTCCCTTCGTCGTCTAAAAATTTTTATTTTATTTAAATATTTTCGATATAAGATGTTCAGATATTTCGAGAAATTTTCGACCCGGAAGGGAAGATGATATTCCATATTCTTCTGATTTATTGTTAATATCGTACGTGCGCGTGTATTATGTATAGCATTGAATTGGACATTTTAGTAACTCGCTCAATGCATCCTCTATCTCTGTTTCTTCTTACCGAGCATGATTTCCATCAAATATACATCTTATCGTATAACGATAGATTTGCATAGTGACTAGGATGAAAAATCAAAAATTCATCAGGGATCGCAGCCCTAACGTGGAATAAATAAATAATCGCGGACATGAAAAATAAATAAAAGTCGAGCGTTGCTATTGGCAGTGAATTTCAAGAAACGTAGGAAATCAAATTTCGAGAAAACGGAGATTAAGATAATGTCAAATTTCGTTTAAAATACAATTTGAAAAGAGAAAGAAACGATGAGATAGAAATTTTTTTTTTCCTATTTTTGTTTTTATTTATCGGAATGTAATATAGTTAGAAAATCGCGTGTTTTCGTCTCGCGTTTATATACGAAATCGAGTTCGTAATGTTTCCAACAACGATTAAATTAGCCGCATCATTTAGAATGATTCGCGTTCCGCATCAGAATGTATCGCCGTTACACGTTTGTCGCGGTTGACGTTCACCAAAGTATGAAAATTATATTTTTACCAGCGAATTGTAGTTCACGTAAAATACCGTGCAAGATAATCGCATGCTCAACACTTTCGTAAAAAAGGTACAAACGCTTGGAAATGATCAAATCATGGGGAATATAAATATTGCCCATTCACTTAATACAATATTGCGCAAAAACTATTACAAAAGTAAGTTTCACAACGTACACTTTACGAAGAACAGCGAAATATATCAATCTGATGTTTTCGGTTTTTCCTTTCTTTACGTTGTTGTTTAAATTTTCTTCTTTTTCTTCTTTTTGTGTCATGTATAATTCCATTTGGTGATAATTGCGATAATGTTAATATAAAATTTATGTCGCACTGCGTCGACGTGTTATTTAAAAATATATTTCTCGCAAAACATGACAGTTTGGAAAGGAATTTGGATCGAACGTGTTCCGTCTTTATTAATTAATGATTGTATCGGAAAGTTCGATTAACAGTATGAAAGTTGTACGTATCGTTAACGAATCAGTCTCGCGAGACCAATTCTCAAGTGTCTTTGAAAACATGATTTTTCCAATAAAAAGCATACTCAGTCAAAACGGTAATGAATCGTTTTATAAAATCCTTGTTTTGATCACGAAAGAAATGAATAATTAGCGCTCGCGGATCAATAAAATGCAAAGTACACGCGAATTACAAATAAGTTATAAATAATTTCCTCGTAACGTTTGTACAAGTATGCGTCGCGATGGTTAATTTATACAAATTGCGTCGCTCGTTACGATTTGAGTGTTTTACGAATGAATTCGTGACATTGACATAATCGTTTTCAGATGTACGATTGTGCGTAAATGTTGGCTTGAATTCAGTTTTTCAAATTCCTGTTAAAACGAAATCTTTTCTATTCATGCAAAATGTGCATTATCGAAGATTTACATGCTGTTCGTCACAAAAATTTAAGAGAAAAAGACACGCAGTGATTTTTCAGAAGCTGAAAGCTCTTTATCCAGGTCTAGGTTTGTTAATGTTCAACAAACAATCAACACCTAATTCTTGAAGAAACGAAAAATCTTTCCTCGTGCCGTATCGATGAGCTTGAGCCTGAAGACTCCTTTCGATGAAGTCAATGCGTGAAATGCTCTAAAAGAAAACGTGACCGATTGGAGGAGATTCGTGGACGCTCGTTCGCGAGGACAGCACCAAATTTTAACTGAATTCGGAGAAAGAAGGCCCGCGTATCAGTAGGCCACCCCAAGGCAGTGTGTACATTGTGTAGATAATAAAATCCTTGATTGTTTGGTACTTCTCCGAAACGAGCCGTGTCCATCTGGTTTCGTTGCTCGTAAAAAATATTCCCCTATCGTTGAAGATATGAAACCATAATGTCCGCACTCGAGGCTCGTGCAACGGTGACATCGCATACGATTGGCCGCAAAACCGAATAATTAAAGCTTCTTGTCTTTGACTCGAGAACATTCATCGTGACGCACAGTGGATTTTCTCTTTCTTTCTCGATCGATGTCTTTACGTAATAATCTTCTTGTCTTTTTCTTTTTTTCTTTTTTTATCGAACGATTTTTGAAGCGTTCTAGGAAACGTATCTCTGTACTTTTTTTTAAAGAATACTCGATCGGTGATTTATATGTATATCGAAGCACTTATCGTAGCGATTATTATTGTAATACGCACAGTTACCTAAAGCTAGCTAAATACATTACTTTTCTACATCTTGCTTTGTGGCTCCTGCACGAAAGTTTAACAAATATTCATACATATACATTATGTACATCCTCGAATGCAGTCTAAAGCTACGTGAACGCATCCTATCACTATATACATGAAGCACACAGTACTCGGTTCGCCTGCGTTTAAACAAGTTCTACTACGTTATTGTCCAATTCGACCATAAGTCATGGCGTGTAAATATAATTCGGTATTTAATTATGGAAGGCCTTCTTCTTCGTAACGTTCACCTCTTCACGAGCTTGAGCTTCACGTCCCTTATCTGCTCCTCCTTTCTCTTTTGTCTTTTCGTTCTTCCCTTTACGTCATGTGCAGATCACCCTTCAGTATTCTGGTGAAAGTCTTTTTGAACTGCTGATTAGCCAAGGCGTAACAAAACGGATTGATGGGGCTGTTAGTGTAACAGAGGAAGTACGAGAACATGAATAGATGTTCGTTGGTGCACGGTTTGTTCAAACAGAAACCCTCCACCAGCGCCAAAACGTGGTACGGTGTCCAACAGGCGACAAACGCGCCCAGAATGAAAGATATCGTCCTGAACGCTTTTCTGGCTCTGTTCTCTGTCCGAGACTTCTGCCGGCCTAACAAAGGATCCCTTCTCTGCGTCTTGGTCTTCAAACGTTTGCCAATTGTCTTCACGAAGTCTTTCCTCGAGCCACCTTCCACGTTGCTCCTCGAGTCTTTCTTCTTCGATTGTTTCTTTGGATCCTGTTCGTTCCCCGTTATGCCGGAGATCGTC